GGGTTGAGGGGCGACAATTTCGGGCTCGTGTGAATGAGCTGATATCCCAGGCGATTCTGCGGAACCTTCATTGGTTCCGACTTCGGAATCTGAGTCGCTGTCGTCATCAACAGCATTTTCGTGTTCATCGTCCCGTCTCCCCATCGCGTCCTCCGGAGACTGTACGACAGGCTCGCCTAGCTGGAATCCGGCGGCAGCATGCGTACCAGGAGCTTCGTTTGGTCCTGCATTCTTGGGTAGAGTCGGTTCGGCTGATCGAGGCGTTGAAGTAGCACCGGTGCTTACTCCAGAGGTAGGCTGTGAGTCAAAGTAGCCCGAGCTCGCTGTCGAGCCGGTCGCTGTAGACGCGTATGACGACTCGTTCCTAAGCAAAGCGGCTCTATTAGGCGTGGGCAGTACTTCGCGTCTTGGCGTAGACCCGAAGGTGGTTTTAGAACCGGGTGTGCCGGTCGGGGTGCCGCTGCCAAACTCGGCCCAAGAGCTCTGGGGACGCTTCTCGGAGGGTGTTTGTAGTGACCAGACGGATTTGCCGTTGGCTTTGGGGATGATGATGGACGGTGAGCCCTGTGGCATGCTATTGAGACGAGGAAAGTTCATTTGACGCCGATCGGCAAGTGGCATGGCCGAAGAGCTACCTGTTGGTGAGCTGGGAGTGTCTGCGGGACAGGTCAGTCAGAATATCAGAAGACGAGACGTTCGCAAACCAGGAGACTTACCGTCTTCTTCCCGGACCGCCGTCTTAGCCATAGGCGAAACCTGGTTCGAAGCCTTTGCTTTGCCCTTATTCTTCCTGGCGAGTCGTCCAGCAAGTCCCATAGGCCCTTTTGATCCAGACGCCCTAGGCTCCGTTTCCGTCTCTGCGTCAGAATCATCATCCGATCGTCCTCCCTCGATCTCAGTGTCAGATTCTCCATCGCTCTCCTCATCGTCGTCTCCCGCATCTCCACCCTCGTCCTCCTGCGCAGGCTGCGTTGACGGTTGTCGGAGCATGACAGGCTACGGGAATGGCGTCAGATCGGGGTGTATCAATGAGAATTGGATGACGGTACTCACCATATGCCTCTTTGCTTTTCTGAGCTCTTCCGCTGTCAATATGCCCTTCTCCTTCCCTTTCCCTGACGGTGTTGAGACCGGAGGTAGCGAGAATGGGAAACCTGACAGGCCGGGGGTACGCTGACCGCTGGGAGTACCCATTAATCCTCCCGGTGTCTTTGGTCCACCTTCTTTGGCCAATGCACCCCATCCAGGAGTCGTGGACCCGCCTGACGGACTTGAGAAACCAGGCCAACCTTGCAAGGTCGGGAGATTCTTAATAGGCTGAGGCATCGGGGGACTTTGGATTAGGGTAGACTTCCTGATAGGAGGGTTAGGACGAGGTCTGGTATTGTTGAGCGGTGAAGAAGGCTGAGAAATTGAAGAAGGAGTCGGTATCGTGTCGTTGAGAGGTACTCGTGACGGGCCTGCCATGGACATTGGTCGACCCTCATTCTGACTCTGCGCCTTTGATTCTGCTCGTCCATCCTCTTGCTTCTGAGCTGCCATTGCAGCTGTTGATCCGGGAATGGCCACATCGGAGATGTCGATACTGAGCGACGGTCGTCGTCGTCCAGCTCCAGCTGCTTCAGGAGGTTTCAGCGAATCAGTTGTGACATGTCGAATCGGAGATGAGAGCGGGGGAGTGGGCAGACCGCTGATCTGCTTGGGAGGTGTCACTGGAGTTTCGGTCGTTTGCTTGACAGGTATTGGGGGCGAATCTGCCGGTAGTTTTAGTGGTACTGTCTGAATGTTGGCAGCGGGCTGTAACGACGCGGGCGGCTTCGACGTCGGTTGCATGGCGGGCCAACTTGCGAGGTTGTCGCTAAAATCTATCGATCGCCTCTTGATATTCTCATTTGGCAACTCGATATTTGCAGAGGGTGGAGAGGGATCTCCGTTGCTGAGGGCATGGCCGTCCGGAGTGATCTGGGCGTAATCATCGTCGGGCACAACTAGTGGATATGACGGCTGCCAGCTGACTGAACTTCTCCTTCCATTCCCATTGGTCTTCGGTTGTCCTTCTGGTGAGCTAGTGCTTGCGAGGGCGAAGTTTTCGGGGAAAAGCGTAGGTGATGCGAATCGCCCACCGTTGACGTCAGGACTGCCGTTTCCTCTTGGGGCTGGATCCGCATATCTTCCCATTACACCATCAGTGGGAGGAGCTGAAGTTCGGGAGGGTTTGGTAGGCGATGTGTTCGTCACGTCTACTTGGGACTTGAAGAAGGTCGAGGGAGATGACAACTTTTGCCGTAGTGATCCTCTTCGTGCTTCGGGGTCAGGCGACGATCCAACGCCGAAGAAGGATTTGATTCTCCCGCCCGACGTGGGAGGTGAGTTAGTCGCTATGTCGGCTCGGGAGATGTCGACGGACAGCCGCTTGTTATTGCGACCTGGAGAGTCCTCAGCTTTCATGAAAGCTGGAGCTGCCGCTTCGGACGCCCTCCTATTCCTGTGGAAGATTGAAGGCATCGTTTAGAGTTGCTTCACCAAATGGGACCGAAAGAGATGGTTACGAGAGATGATGCGCGGAGTCGATTAATGCTTGAAGAGTAGCCACCTGAAAATCAGTACGTTAACAATGCTTGTGGGATGTCTGATAGATGTCATGATGATGATAGTGCGCCGAAAAACCAGCAGTCTGGATTGAAATGATGGGTGCGTTCAATATGTGTAGAAGGTGTAGGGCCATGACGAAGAATGTCGTTGTTTCCAGTTGCTCACCAGACACTACTTGTACACTGATGCTCCGCCTGGTATCCTACTTGAGCTGCTTGATGATGGTGATGACGATATACAAGTGACCGCACGGATCGACGTTCCTTTGGTCTACTAAATTCCCTGATATGCTCTCTGGTTGATGCTTTATGTATCACAATCCATGGGAAAGAGGCGATGTATGATGAACAATGTATGCTGAGTATACGCGACTGCCGGACTATGCTGAGTTGAAAGACCCAACGACGGGGAGTGATGGACGTATGGATGTATGGATGATGTCGATCCTTGTGTTCTTCTCCACTCTTCCCGATGGACGCCAAGGAGGCCGAGCACGAACGGACTGGGCGTACCCACGACCTTGGTTGGTCAAGAGGACCGCTGACCGGTATTACACGTATCTTTAATATCCGAATTACAATGGTCTTCTACGCAACTCGAAGTGAGGAGCTGACCTGATGGTCGACGAGTGCTATTGCGATGCTGTGTATTGCTGAATTGTAGTGGCGAGCAGACAGTGGATATATTTTGCGTCAAGTGTCTCGTGATCGATCGTCGCTGTATAGGAGTGTGGGTGTGGGTGTATTGTCGTCGGAATATGAAGGAATGGGAGTCTTGAGTTGAGGCAAGGGGAAGCGCTAAATCGGGTCTCGCAAACTTTGGTCCTGGTCTTCTGCTGCTAGTGGCCCTACGACTTGGTTCTTCGGTGGTACACGTATGTCGCGCTGAGCTCAAAATACACAAATCCACAGTCTTTGCTGCAGTCAATCGATGGCGTATGTCGAAGGTACAGACAAGCTCTACCCGACGCCTCTATCAATACTGAACGCCAATGTCAAACCCCGATGACAATGACGATCACGATGCCTGACAACGACGATTAGATGGCGGTGACGATGCTGAAACGAGACATGACTCTCGCAGTATCTTTTGCACGCGTGTGTATATCTGTAGAATTCCTGACAGACGCTGTTGGGAGTCAAGGGGATTGGCCATATGGGCTAAAACCGAGGATTGAGCAGGAGAATTGATTTGATTTGGCTCGTCTCCGATTCACTCAAACTTGCACTTTGCTTGCTGCTAATAACAACCTGACCGCCGACGTCACTCATGTGCATTGTAACAGAGATCATGCCCGCCTCGGCCTAGATCATTAATTATTGGTACAAAACTCATCGCAGCTTCTTGCCAATAGGTCGATGCCGGCCAGGCCGAGGCATAGAAAACATGGGTACATGCAGGCATGCATGTTCTTGTCCAGATGTTCCAATTACACTAATCTCATTAGTCGGTAATTGACCCTGAATTCCGGCGTCCTGCTTGTTTTGGACATCCCGCATATAAGTTTACACAACTCGTACGTAAATAAACCGTAAGTATATATATAAAGTACTTTGCATGGGAATTTTGAGCGGTGCGCAAACCGTGAGATTGACGTGCGTAAACTTTGGCCTCCTGGTGCGTCGCAAGTTCCGGCGATGAGCGATGCTCGTATCCACCTATCACGGCTACAGTAGCACAGTCAAGCACCACCACTATGCGATAGTACTTTAGTGCGCCTGATTAGTGTCTCCATCGATCGACGACGTATCCTGGCGTCCCGCAGATCTCTTCTGCGGCACTCGACTTCTTTGTGCCGCTTGCCAACGACAACCAAATTCTGTTGTTCTGCTGGACTCGGATGTCGGTCATTTGTGGCATGGACTTGCCGGCCTATTATCACTGTACATATCATTATATGCATCAGATCCGGGGATTGCTAGAGCCGACTTAGGCTCCAAGAAGTATTGTTACGTTGATTGTGGGTGCCTACAAAGACCCCACATTGTAACGGACGATACGATCGACGGCCGTGTGAGTTCGGCCTTTGAGATACGAGCCTAGCTATCTTTCGCCCGCACTGCCGATGATATAGTAACTGTTCTAGTGCATGATACGTGACTGACAGCCGGCGGCGCCAGCTGAGGGAATAGTAAGGAGTTAATGATAACGACAAGGTAGCTGGCTGCCGAAGTCGGCTTTGACGTCTCGACGTCATGTCCGTAACCTTGCGGAACGAATATGCATGTCCGTTATGCACCTGTCCCGCATCACATGCCCTCTAGTCGGACAATTATTCTTGGCTCCTTTCATGCAATGCTCGCCATATGGGCCGACTTCGATCGCGTGCAATTCCAAAGGCCCCTCATGAGCGCTGTGTCGCGTGATTGAAAGGTCATATACTGTGTCAAATTCCCAGTTCTCCTGTCGGCCTAATAGTGTAATCGTCGCACGCGTCCTTCGGGACTCAGACTCTCGGTTGGACTTTCAATCTGCATGGACGTAGTCTGGGTTCAATTCCCAGTTGGGCCCATTTATGGTCTTTTTGCCTTCGTTCCCAAAGTGTCTTTTTGAGGTGGGCTTTCGCAACGAAGGCGACGGCGATGTGGCGCTTATTACCACTTCCCCCCATACCATACAAACCATATGGCAATGGCAATGGCAATCTGCGAAAATACCAAATATCGTCCGCCACGCCTGACCTGAAAAAAATGGAAAAGCGGAGCTCGCCGCTCACTCCCCCCGCGATTTTTTCTGAGACCGGGAACCAAGTATCCAAGTATCCGTGGATGAAAGACAACCGATTGTACCCCTTCATCTTCACCCAGCCGTCCAGCTATTCGTGCGCACATTCGTACGCAGCGAGTGTGAGTGCAGGCTGTCTCTCTCCAGAGGACACTACGTAGGTTTAGCTTGCTGGTCTCCTCTCTTGGCTCGGCTGGGCGGCTGGGCTCCGCTCAACTAAAGCCAAGCTGACCTAGGCTTGCCAAGTTTGTCCGTCACTCACGTCATGTGTCTGATCGACACTGTATATCCACTGAAATCTCTCCCATCTCAGACTCGGTGTCAATGCACCATATGCGCTTTTGCAGGTCACCGATGCATGATGAATAGGCAACTAATACTCTTTTCTTTCACAAAGGAGAACACAACAGACGGGTCAATCTACTCGAGCGTTCACTTCATGCATCGCATGGTATCACCTCAATGATCGAAAAGAAGCTTACTGATAGGATGATCGAGGGCGAAAGCTTTGAAGCGAAGCACTAGGGTCGTGTTGGTGATAAATGACAAGATTGGGAACAGACTGAATTGATATTTCGGCAAGCCTGCTTCACCAATCCAATTCATATTCCGTCCACGGCACCAGCAAAACGACAGCGACGCTGAGTGTTCGCTTGCTTATTTACTTACTACCATCATCAGCCGAGTCTGCATACAGCATCAGCGAGTGCGAGGGCTTGCTGCGAGTAATAATTGCGGTACGCTCGCGCCCCCTTGACCAGCACCAGCAATAACAGTCGTGACAACTGTACTAGTGTGGTATCAGTATCATCTGTTTGGCTCCACAATAGAACAGACGTCACACACACAAGGCAGGTAAGCCATACCTGACTGGGAAAAAAAAACACAATCGTGCAAGCACTCGGCTTTGACCAGCACGGGCTGGTCTTTGTCCATGAAACACTCATACAGTACATATCACAGCAGAGATCTGCATTATCGGGAACCTGGGCAGGACAGCTGCTGGTATTGTATGTCGGTTGATATTGTTGACCTATTCATCTTTGACCGACTCTTCTCCTTCTCGTTCCCCCGGTCCCTTCAAACCTGTTCAACACATCTTCATTTAGATCTGTTCTTTTGTTTGTCCGTTTGCTTGTTGGTCTGTCATCTTATCGTACATTATAATACAGTCCAATACCTTTTTCGCTTGTCCCCCGTCTTCTGGGTCGTAGCCTGACCGTGTTGCAAGGTGGCGAAGCTGGTGGCTTCTTCTCACACCTTGTAGAAACTGACTGTAATTCGCTGTTGTAACATCGCTCCTCATCTCACCTTCGTCTCGACTGGATAACAGAGCACCATCGACATCATCGCCACCGTCCTCAAGACACTAAACCGTTCGACATTCCCCCAGCATCACGACAACAGAAAGAAAGTACGAAAGATGGCAGACTCAACTAATCCCCCAACACCGTCACCACCAAGAGTACGACATTCTCAACGAAGAGGTCAGACGCGATTCGAGAAGGAAGCGGCTGCAACTGGCGGCAAGGCGGCTGCTGATCATCCTGGAGACCCAAAGGTTATTGGACCATGGAGGATTGGGAGAACCATTGGGAAAGGCGCAAGCGGTGAGTGGGGAGCGGGGGGACCTTACTCGTACTGTGCGATGACCTCATCGAGAAGCAGAGATAAAAGCCAGGGCTGACAGACAGATCGTCTTGACTTGTGAACATTGCAGGTCGAGTAAAGATTGCCAAACACTCCAAAACGGGCCAGTATGCTGCCATCAAGATTGTACCGAAGCATGCTTTGCTCATGAGCTCGAGAATGTCGATCACTGAGGCCGGAGCGAAACATGATAAAGCCGTCTTGGGTATCGAGCGAGAGATTGTGATCATGAAACTGATTGATCATCCCAATGTCATGAGCCTCTACGATGTCTGGGAGACCGCGAAGGAGCTGTAAGTCGGGTCACACCTGTTGTTTGTACTGCCCCCAATAGCTTTGGGTTCTCCAAGTTGCAGCTCTTAGCCTACTTGTGGGGGTGGGGCCAAAGACGAGAAGCTGATAAATACGTGGTCCCCGCAGATACCTCGTCCTGGAGTACGTCGAAGGCGGCGAGCTCTTTGACTACCTCGTCTCTCAGGGTCGCTTGCCGCCTGACGAAGCTTCGCGGTACTTCCAACAAATCGTCGCTGGCGTAGATTACTGCCACCGATTCAATATCTGTCACCGTGATTTGAAGCCCGAGAATTTGTTGTTGGACGCTGAGAGGAACATCAAGATTGCCGATTTTGGCATGGCCGCTTTGGAGCCGAGTGATAAGTTGCTAGAGACAAGCTGCGGTAGTCCGCATTACGCTTCGCCTGAGATCGTGGCGGTGAGTGATATGGCTCGACACGTTCTGCTTGTCACATTGCAACCTCGGTTCAGCCATCTCCTGAATTACTACAGGGCAAGAGAATGAGGTGAAAAGCTGACCTTTTTGGCGTGTCTGTTTGTGAACAGGGTATGTCATACCATGGTGCAGCTTCAGATATCTGGTCATGCGGAGTCATCCTCTTCGCCCTCCTCACCGGTCGATTACCATTTGACGACGAGAACATCCGTATCTTACTGCAAAAAGTCAAGAACGGACGATTCGTCATGCCTACTGATCTTCCGGCTGATGCCAAGGACCTGATCACGAGGATGCTGGTCGTTGACCCCGAGAAGAGGATCACCGTGAGTCGGCTATGTCCTGGACTAGGGTCATGTGGCTGCCTTGAAGAGATCAAGAAATGGCGAAGAACATTGCTGATAGCATGCTCGCCCTCTTATGGGTGTTGACCACGCAGATGAACGAGATCATGAGACACCCATTTTGTCAGCGAAAGCAAGACACCGATTCCGGTCGTCGCATCAACCTCGTCGAGCCTCCCAGACTTGAGGAGATTGCTCGACCGGTCAAGTCGGAGCGAGAGATCGACCGGGATATCCTCCGGAATCTTAGAACGCTATGGAACGGGACTTCGGAGCGAGAGATTGTCAAATCACTATTATCCAACGAGTATGTGGCATCCTAAACGTACACCCTCGCACATGATCTTCCTGCTTCTATGGCGATGGTTTGGAAAACAATGGCTGACGCTGATGTGAGACTTGACGTGAACATCACAGAAAGACGTGGGAGAAAGCGTTCTACTTCTTACTCCTGCAATACCGGAACAAGCATCTGGAAAACTTCAACCCTGAGCCAGAGAGCAGAAGGGGTACGACAGGTCAGTGACAACTTTTCTTCAGACTTTCCTGCATCATAACGGTGATGGTATTCGGGCTGATCGGCTTGAGTGAACTCGTATATTCCCTGATAGAGCGAAGGAGGAGAAGCGAAAACACGTCTTCAAGTCACCGTCGATCGACAAGGTCGACTACGTCAAGTACCGCGGCCCACGGAGGCAGTACCATCCGAAAAGCGGTACCTCGGGAAGAGCGAGAGCGCGAACGAAACTCTCAGTCGCATACTCAGGCAGATAAGGAGAATGCCAACCCAGCTGCTCATGTTGCTACTCGACCTGCCCCAGCTCCGTTATCCTTGCACAAGTCTCATGCTACTCCCGGTGCTCGAGTAGCTGGACCCAGACCTTCACCATCACCCTCGCCCTCGCCTAATCCTGACCTGAGAGACCGCACTACAAACGGATCAGCGAGGGGAACGAGCTCAGTCACGAGTCCACGTACGCCAGCCCACCTGGACAAGGTCAACAGCACCCAGCCATCTATAGCCACACCTGTTGATCCCCGATTACCCAAGATTACGCTGCAAAGACCTACTCCTGACGCCCAAGCTGCCCCTGGCCCTACTGGCCTGGGACTGAATATCAATGTGGCACCACCGCCTTCACCATCTCCTGCTCCTTCTTCGCCTCCTCTGGGCATGGCTGTTGGCGCAGCATTGGGTAACATTAATGTGCCTCAGGTCCAAGATGCCGCTCTGCAGAAGTTCTTCCATGATATCGCTGAACAGCTGCAGTTGATCGGGTCAGCTTCGCCTCGCTCGTCTCTGATCGCTGGATCTCCACTGGCAAGCCCAGCTATATCCCAAGGCGAGACAATCACCACTCCCACAACGCCCAACATGGACCTGCCTCCCGTTCCTCTACCCCAGGCGAAAGCTCAAGAGCAGCCGACACGGGTCCAACAACCCGTCATTGCCATCAACAACAGCATGCAGGCGAATCGACCGGCACCGCTGAGGAGCATCACCGAGCCGCAACAGCCCAACACGGCCCCTAGACCAGAAGTGTCAAAGAGACGCTCGTATCTTGGCGACGCCACCAACAGGGACAATGTGTATGCCAATCAAGTCTCACAGCCTCAGCGGCATTCGATTGGATTTGAGAAAGTCAGGAAGGTATCTGGAGGTTCAGAGAGCAAGCGAAAGTCGAAGCGTGAGTGTCGGCGTGCCCACCCACATGCGTACAAGCAATAGTTGCTGACTCGAATCTTGCCAATGATGACATTTTTGGGATGGTGTATACTCTGCATGTACTACAGCCGCACCGCTCGATCTGTCCCCCAGAATCCCATCAGAGCTTCTCTCGCCGGTGGGATCTCCTTACCTGTCCACACCGCCTCTGGGTGGATCGGCGCCACCTTCACCCTTACTTGTTGGCAGCTCCAACGAAGTCAAGACCTCATGGTTCTCCAACCTGTTCAGTTGGAAGCCTGCGGTGGGTTACAGTTTTCCTATTCTTTTTATTCCCACGGAAGTCACAGTAATTGGTGGCTGATTTGTTTGTTGTTCGTGATGCTGCAACATATCT